CTACCACTTGAGCCACAGCACCACTTCCGGCTTTTTTTCTTTTTGCTTATGTGGTGCTGGGGATTCGAACCCAGGGCTTCATGCATGCAAGGCAAGTGCTCTACCACTGAGCCACCTTCCCAGCCCTGTGCTAGGGACATTTCTGACATATGTATTTATTAACATTTCTACAGATACAACACAAGTATCACTTCAAATATTTTGAGATTTTTTGTTGTTGTTGTTGTTTGTTTTACCAGTCCTAGGGCTTGAACTCAGGCCTGGGCACTGTCCCTAAGCTTCTTTGGCTCAAGGGTAGCACTCAACCAGTTGTTTATATGTACTGAGGAATTGAACCCAGGACTTCATACATGCTAGGCAAGCACTCTACCACTAAGCCACTTTCTCAGCCCTTTGAAACCATGCTTGAAAAGAGTCTTACTATGTAGCCCTGGCTGTTCTCAAACAATACTCTTGCCTCTACCAGCTGAATGTTGGGATAACAGGTATAAACCACCAAGGCTAGCTTAAAACACCAATGTTTAGCATGGGTATAACAATTCTCACATTGAAATAGTCAATACTAGTCTGTCCATTATAACCATCTTGATAGTATTATTTATATAAATAATTTAACATTTAAATGTTAATTTAGTTCAAAGAACTTGTCAAAACATAGTTGGCTATGACATTCAAGTTAATATAGTGCCTATATTTCCTTCTCCTTTCGGCAACTCTAGCTCTTTCTATCCTACTAATTTATATAAATCTTTATAGGACAAATGGTAAATATATTCAGCTTTGCATGTCATATATAGTGTGTTACATATCTTTATGTTTCTTTTCTTTTTTTTTCACCTAGGTTTTTATAGTTTGGGTATGAAGTACCCTGGAAACATGCTCATGTATTGAAGGCTTGTTCTACAGGTAGCATGGTTATTGAGAGATGACAGATAACAGATGAGATCCCTAACTTCATTACTGGATTAACCAACTAATGGTTTCATAGCTGAAGAGGGACCAGTTAGAGGCAGCAGGTTGGGAGTGTGTATCTTACCCAGAGACCTCCCCTCTCTTCTCCCCTGCTGTTCTTGCCCTTCTTTCCCCTCCTCTCCCCTTCTTCCCCTTCTATTTCTTACCCTCTCCTCTTTTCCCCTCCCCACTTTCTCTCTCTCTCCTCTCCTCTCTCTCCTCTCTTATCCTCTCCTTTTTTCACCCCTCCCTTTTTCTCCTTTCCTCCTGCTCCCTCCCTTTCCCTCCCCTCCTCTTCTCCTGTCTCCTCTCCCCTTCTTTCTCTCCAAACTGCCATGAGATTAGCACCTGTAGTCTATGACATCCTTGCACCAATGTTGTACTACCTCATGACAGTCCCAGAAACAATGGAGCAGCTAGCATGGACTGAAATCTTTGAACTGGGAGAGAAAATCAGTTTGCCTTCCTTTATGAGGTATTTTTGTCCCAATGGCAAAAAAAAAAAAACAACTGATACAAGCACTTTAAAAAAGTAAAAACCTCCCTCCCGCACAGTATAACCCCTGCTTTCACTGTATTTGATGTCGGTATAATTTGTGGAGGGGAAGGGGAAAAACAAATCGTTTAAATAAGGATACAGGTGGACCCATTGCAACAATGAGATGTACAAGTCGTTATGTCAAAAACGAACTTTACAACTTTGGTAGGGGGGGAGGGGGAGGAGGATTAGGT